AAAGAAGTTCTCAGCTTTTAATGGAACCTGTAGTTAGCACCCTTCTGTTGTGGGTGGGGGAGAGTGCTATAGACCATAGATTGTAGTAGGTTTCAGAGTTATGCCTGGAGAAAATAGTGAGTATCTTTTATATTATACTTACTAAATTCTGTAAACTACAAGGTCCAGGTAATGAATTCCGTGACTAAAACTCATGTCTGAAGAGCTGATGGCATGTGCTGTTTACAGTAGACACTGTTGTTACAGTGGTGTTAAAGCAGTTGTGTTCTGAGCTGTAGCTTGCCTACAGACTAAATCGTATGGACTCATTCTTCAATATTATTTTAATGACTCAAATGACTCTTAACTGTTTCATCTTATATTTTAATTGCTGTTAGAGCAACATGCGAACATCTTTTTAATGAAATTACTAAGTTAAAATATCTTCATTAAGTGTAATCTCATTTACTCATTAAATGTGTTCTAACTGTAAATTCCTTGTGAAAGAATTGGAAAGCTTACTGGAGTAAAACTAAAGGTTTTAGACATTCAGATCAGAGCTGCCTTGAGTGTCATCTTTTGCTTTGTAGGAAGAGTTGCTCCTTGGTGGTCTTTCTCATTGATTCACACTTATGTAAAATTCTTAGGCATGAAGTTGTGTATGTCAAGAATAGTGCTTGGATCGTGTTCTGCTTAAACTTCCTTTGGTTTGTGTAGAATGCCAGGGATAAATCAGCTGTGGAATAGAAAGCTGAAGAATGTTGCATCTCATTCACCTTCAATAAAAACCAAGTTCTGGTATCCAGTGGCTATCAGTTCTTTAAGCTACAAGAGATTTTACTGGTTTATGTGAAAAAGAATTGGTCTCTAGAACAATTGGTCATGACTGCCATTAGTACACCAGAGGGAAAAAGTTGTTTTCAGCTTTCAAACTGGGTAGCTTGGTCAGATGACAAATTTAAAAAAAAAAAGTCTTCTATTAGGTTTGTCAAACTGTGTAGTTCTGTGCATACTGTTGCATTTCTGTTCACTGTCCATTTTTTTCATAATGCTTTTTAAGGGTAGATCTGCTGGTTTTGGATTATGCACTTACCTTTACTTACTATTTGGAATAAAATGAAGTTTTGAGGAAGAGTAATCTGTAACATTTTTTCAACCAAATGAGGAGTTGGTTGGAGGAAGTCTTAAGTGGAAAGTGTTTTCTCTGGAATTCCTTTCTTTTGTAGCTTTTTCAATCCATAATATGTTCTTGCAGAGTCACCTTTCAAAGAATATTATGCATTGATTGTGTATTGTGATTGTGAATGTTGTGTATTGATTTCTCACTGTCCGCCTTTTTCTGCTGAGGAGCTTGAAAATTAGTGTGTTGAATAAAGGTCTAGATTGCAGTCAGAATACTGTTTCTTAAAAAAAGAAAGTCCTTATCCAAGCTTTTATGGGTTTTAATTTTTGTTAATCTTTAGTCCACTCTTAATGTTCCTGTTTCATTCGGCTTAGCATCTTTCCAGAAAACAAGCTGAGGTAGTTCATTTTCCTGATTTGTTCCACAGCTTCCTCTGGTGCTTCTGAGATATGTATTTGTTTACTGCTGCTTACCAAGTCAGTCTTAATCTGTGGTGTTACTACTTTCCAATAGGAAAAGAGACAGGATATTTTTTATCTAAGGGTTTTGGGTTTGGGTTTTTGGGGTTTTTTGGGGGTTTTTGCCCCCAATTACATGTCCCAGGGCTATTGCGTATGTAACTCCTTCCAAATGTAGAGGAGCAAGATGTCTTACACTGCCCACTTACTTAAGAGATTGAGAAGCTGGAATAATATATTCCTACAGGCAGCAGTTTATGAGGACACGTAAAGATGTACTTGATTTAAGTGTATTAACAATCACACAACTGTAGAGGGACCTGTATATGTGTAAAACTATGTGTGTTCAACTGTGACTGTGAAGAACTGTTCTTTTCTGGAGATACTTCGGCTACTATGTTTCTGCTCTTGTTTTAAAACTGCTTCTTTAAATACTAGCCATATTGTGCAATGTGGTGTTTTGTTAGTTCAATTCTTTAATCACCAGTTGTGTTTGTGAATGTCTCTCCATAGATCCTTTATTATAAACACTGTAAAAAGTGTTTAGCAGTGTGAACTTTACAATGTTTATAATAGCTTCTAAAACAAATTAGATGGAATGGGAGGGAAAAGGGAAAATACAACTCTTTTGAAAGACCTGTCAAGAAATCTCAAAATGAAGTAACAGCCAAGTTAGAAACCTAAAATGACTAGCGAGACCATAAAAATAGCAGATTGAACCCTGATAGCACTAATGTAATCAGCAGGTGTTCAGGAAACCCGTTAGCACTTTATAATAGTCTCATTCATGAAGATGAAATTAATTTTGAAGATGATACACCAAGTAAACATTATGTATACAAAACTTGGTGCAAAACAAATAAGCTTTCCTCCTGCAATCTTGGAAGCAGGATAAACTGTGAAAGAACATCAGTAGTGAAAACTGTTGTAATCCTGAAATTCATACACTTAAAAAATTGAACAGATTTAATGAAAAGTAATGGAAGTACTGGAATGGAAAATTAGATATTTTGTTTTTTCTTCACCAACGACACTTAATAGCTTAGAATAGCTATTTAAATATATTTGAGATGTATCAGTCCTATAAATAACAAATGCAATCCATTATTTGAATGGAACATTTTTTTTTTTAGTATTGTGCAAGAGTTTTTTAACCTGAAGGCTTTGTTAAGACAAAGGCATTACTACACTGAAAAACATTTCTCAAAAACTTTTCCTGAGGAGAAGGACTTGAGGGTGTTGGTTGATGAGAAGCTGAACATGAGCCAGCAGTGTGCGCTGGCAGCCCAGAAAGCCAACCGTTTCCTGGGCTGTATCCAGAGAAGTGTGGCCAGCAGGTCGAGGGAGGGGATTCTGCCCCTCTGCTCTCGTGAGACCCCACATGGAGTGCTGTATCCAGCTCCAGGGTCCCCAGCCTAAGAAGGGTATCAACAGGTTGGAGCACCTCTCCTATGGGGGCAGGCTGAGGGAATAGGGCTTGTTCAGCCTGGAGAAGAGAAGGCTCCGGGGAGACCTTATTGCAGCCTTCCAGTACTTGAAGGGGGCGTACAAAAAAGCTGAGGGGGGCTTTTTACAAGGGCCTGTAGTGAGAGGACAAAGGGTAACTGGTTTAAGTTGAAAGAGGGTAGATGTAGATGAGCTAGACGGAAGACGAGGGGCTGATGAGGCACTGGAACAGGTTGCCCAGAGAAGCTGTGGATGCCCCATCCCTGGAAGTGTTCAAGGCCAGGCTGGATGAGGCTTTGAGCAACCTGGTCTAGTGGAAGGTGTCCCTGCCCATGGCAGGGGGGTTGGAACTAGATGGTCTTTAAGGTCTCTTCCAACCCAAACCATTCTATGAAAAAGAAAGTGTATTGATTGCATAGGATTTTATTGACTTTTATATCAATGACTGTTCATTTTAAGTCCTCTGGAATAAAACTACAATTGGCCAGTCATTAAGTATGTCCTTCCTCTGTTTTTAAGAATAGAGTTGTCATGCACAGCAAAAACAATGTATTAACCTAAATTTGTAATTTGTATCTCAGCCTTTCACATGAGGCTACCACCAAGAAGCTGCAGCAAAATCATAGACCTAGTGTTATTTGTCATAAAGTTAAATAAAATAGTTGATTTGAATAGCCGATAAAGCTCCTATTCCTAAGCTTGCAGTACTTGAGCTACTAATAAATTGAGTCCTGCTCAAATAATTTGCTTAGTATTGGAAAGAATTGGAAAGAATATTATTAGTATTGGAGAGGCTATTACCATAGCAAATGCCTGGAAATTAGCCAAAGTACCCAGAATAATGGCGACTGAGATCTTCGTAAGGTGCTTTCAATACTGTTCTTTACAGTGAATTTGTACTTTTGTGGTTTCCTGCAATTAAAATAAAAATTATATTCATCAAAAACATCAGTTAAATACTTTTCTTGATAATTAGTAGAAGCAGTACAGGTAATTAAATCTGTAAAAAGCAAATAATGTCTGTGAAAGGTAACTAAGAAAAAGCAAGTTTATTAGAGAGCTAATTTCATATCTTAAGTTCTGCTGTTGCAGAAGTTTAGGAATCTTCAAATGCAGAAATTTTAACTGTCCACAGCAGTTCTTTCTTGGTGAAAATCTCATTTTTAAGAGACATCAAGAGGAACAAAGTAAATATTTTTATATTTGAAGGTTTGTACTCTATAAGATTTAAACATGCATTGAACTGTAGCAACTGTAATTGCCTTTTTTAGCTATGTAATTTAATTTTTGGGAACATTTTCTAACTTTATTTGGGACTACACATGCAAGTTTTACGTTCCCTTTGGAGGCTGCAGTTGTAAGTGTTGTTGGAGAAAGATCTGAACATTAATATTTGCAAGATGGAGATTTTCTCAGAAGAAAAGAATGTTGCTACTGAATTTGTGTGTGTGTTTCCATAATTACACTTCCCTGCACTAAATTAATCATAAATAATTCTTTAAATCATCTGTTTCTTCAGCAGGGTCCTTTGTCTTGCTGCCTCTTCTTCCATTAGAGTAGTAGTAGTTTGGCATTTAAAGTCAGATTTGTTACATCAAAGATGTATATTTTTCTAATCTGACTGCTGCTGTTTTAATGATGTTTAATAATAGGTCATTATTTTACTGAATATTTGTTTTGGTCACTCTCTCGCTTTAAAACAAATTAAATGCTGTAATAGCTAAAGATTAGTGGCTAAAGATTTTGATTAATTTGAGCAGATGTGATTCTGCTGTATATCATTTGCCTTACGGATTCAGTACTTGAGACTTGAGCAGCAGTGGTAGCCTCAGAATAAAAACCTTGTAATAATGAATAGATTTCAATATGTATCTTAAATTCTGTTAACATGTCTTCTTTTTCTTATGACTAATGTATGTATAGAGACACACACACACACACATATATATATATATATGAAAAACCCAATATATGCGTGTTATTTATTTTAACAGATTGGACAACTTGCTTTTAAAGGCATGAAAAGACTAAACCGAATCCAGTCGATAGTTTTTGAGACTGCCTACAACACAAATGAGAACATGCTAATCTGTGCCCCCACTGGAGCTGGGAAGACTAACATAGCCATGCTGACGGTCCTTCACGAAATTCGCCAGCATGTCCAGCATGGTGTTATCAAAAAGGATGAGTTTAAGGTAGGAGTTTACTGAACCAAATATAAGATTTTTAACTTTTACGGTAAAACCCATTTTATGTTATACATGGAATATGAAATCAGGAAATTTTCAAGGGTATTACAGTTTTCCGAGTCAAAGATAAGGCTGGTTTTGATTTACTTCATTACTGTTAAAGCTATTTTTATTTGTATTCTAAAAATCTTATTATGCGAGTAAAAAGCTATGAAAATGCGTTTAGCTTTGATGCAGAACCAATTTTCAAAGTGATGAGGCTGTATAAACAAAATCCATTGTCCTTTAAACAGCTGCACACTTATCCAACAAAGATAACTACTTTTCATATATCACTATTAAGATTTTTCACTGTAAGTGCCTGGCATCATATTTCACAATAAATTGTGATTTGTAATGGTTGCCATGAAAAAAACCGACATTGTGGGGTTTGCTCATTTATCAAGCGAGTGTCTTTTTGGTGCAGATTGTGTATGTTGCTCCTATGAAGGCTTTGGCAGCCGAAATGACAAATTACTTCAGCAAGCGTCTGGAACCACTAGGCATTACTGTGAAAGAGTTGACTGGCGATATGCAGCTGTCAAAAGGTGAAATTCTGCGAACACAGGTATGCTTAATATTTTAAAATATTGTTCTCCCTGTGGATTCATACGTTTTCATAGGTACACTGGTCTTTTTTTAAAACTTCTTGTAAAAGTGTTGGCGAAGCAGCTGAAATGTTGTTACGTGAGACTGTGCACTGGTCGTGTTCTGAAATGTGACTTTCAGTTCAAAGTGATTAAAACACTAATATATCTGAAATGTTTTAAGCAATGGGCTCATTAAACTTTTGGGTTTAATTTTACTACTCTGGTGTCCCACTTTCATCTAACCATTATATAAACTCTTACCTGACTTCCAGCTTGTGAACCTTAGTGGTTTGTACTCTTACCCTTTCAGAATTATAAATCAAATGTTCTAAGTATATGTTTCAAGAGCCTAATACCCATCATTTCAGATTTGGCATTCTCTGATAATAACCATCTTTGAAAAGTTGGAGGTCTGGTCTGCAAAGGGTAAATTCTAAATAAGTTTGAAATGCTGTTGGCAACATTGTTGCAAATATGTCAGAGTAATATGTACCTTCCTTTTTATTAAAAAAAAGTTAATAGAGCTGTGCCTGTTGATGGCTGATCTTACACTTTTCTTCATTTGTCCTTGAAAAGGAAAAGACATAGCTAGGTTAAACATTTGATCATTCTTAGAAAGAAATAAAAGCTGCCTTTTTAGCCACATAAATAGACTTGCAGAGATGGAGATTTTTCTGGTTTAGCAGGCAGGGCTAAACCACGACATCTATTTTGGGCAAATGCTGTTTGTGTCCATAAAATATCATTTTTACAAAACATTGAGGTACTTCTACATTACTTCTACCATATAGATTCTTGTAATTACCGTTTCTCCTCCTACCTGGTCCAAGAGACAGAATAAGACTTGGTTGTATTATTGATATGAACATTTGTAAATGTAACGTAGTAATTATTGATTCAGATGAGTTATGTTTTGCCAGTCTTAGCTTTGGTGTATTTAACATTTTTATGGTAAGACTCGAGAAAATTCTTCATATGACAAGAGAAGTTGTCTATATGTAATTAATAATGAAAAGGACCACTGCAGTAATCTAATATGAAGTTCTGGATAACTATCTTCCTCATTAGAAGATGTATATGCATAGTTATTAATGCATACAGTCACAGTGCTGTGGTGACCGACAAATAACAAACCAGTATCAATGCGTAACAGCAGTTATCACTGGTACTTTACAAGAATCACTTTGTAACACCATCTACAACAACTTTGGGTTTACAGAGTAAAAAAACTTTTCAATAGGGACTTGTTAATAATTGAAATTATTTACATAGGCCAAATTATCACTTAAAATTACTCTCTGTTTTCACAATACTTTTCAGCTAGGGCACATAATCACGTAGGTCAGAGTTTTAACAGTGAGAGAGCAGGTGTAATCACTGGCAAAACGGAGGTGACAGTGGAAAAGCCTGCTCTGAATGTAAATATGAAGTTTGATGAACAGAATTAACGTATAATGGAAAAGTACCATTTTCTCTTGCTCTCCTAGTTTGCAACATAATTCATAAAATCTCACCTCACTACTAAAACTCTGCTTACATCTAGTAAAGAAGTAAGGGGGGGG